CCCCTCATAGCCTCCCCATTATACACCTTTTTTTTGTGACTTGGTTTTTCCCAATTTGGATTCAAAAACTTAAAAAAAAAAAAAAAAAAAAAAAACAGAAAAAACTCAAACAGTGCCTGTAAGCAGTATCAGATGGCTATTCATTACTAAACCATTGTTTTTAGTTTTTTTTTTTTTTTGTATAAAAACATGTTAGTTCTTTGGTAGAGAATTTTTCAAACTGGTCATTTTGGAGGAACTTCTTTGATCTGATCCCTGGACGGCAGGCCTGGAAAGGCCCAGTGTGGAATATGGGAGCAGAAAGGACAAGAAGGATGGAACAGAGTAAGAGACAATTGACTGATTTCATTGTGTTTTTTTTTCTTTAAATGTTTGTCCTCTTTTCTTTTTGTTTTGTCTTCACCCTCATTCCTTTTCCCCCTGTATTTCTTCTGTGTCTCCCTTTCAATCAGAACTTTTCCCACATTTTTCTCCTTCACCTTTCTCTTTCTCTGGTCTGCCGTGGTTCTTCCATCTCCTTCTAATTGATGCATTTCTTTAATTGAAACAGTTTCTTCTTTTTCCCCTCACCTCGCCTTCCTTCCCCCCACTTTTCCCTCCCTCGACCCCTCCCTCCCCCCTCCACCTCCTCCGTCCGTCTTCCCGATTTGTCCTTCAGCACTGTCAGCACTCAGTATCTCGCTCCATCTCCTTCCCCTGCAGTCCGATCAGCTGTCTCTCCTTCTAACTTTACATGGCCCGGTTGTGATGCGAAGGGACAGACAGCTGCTGGCTGACGCATTTCACTGCCCAGTCATCACATCAAAATCGAGTCCTCTTACACAAACCTCTGTCTTTTCCATTTATTTTCTCTATGATATGTATTTTTGCTGTCTGAGGGATCCTATGTTTTTATTTTTTTTTTTTTCGGTCTGATGCTTTCCTTCTACATTTTCTTTTTATCCTGCGAGAGAAATTCCAATGACCCTCTTCTTTTCTCTCCTCCTCTTTTCACTCCTCCTCCTCTTCCTCCTCCTCCTCCTCTTTTTCTCTCTGCATCCTTAAACTCTCCATCGCTGATTCAGCTCTCAGGGAGGAGAGACTCCGCCTGCAGCGATTGCCTCACTCCGCATGGGCCACCATCCCTCTTTGGATCACCTTTGCAACGGTAGGTGCAGAAGTGTGTGTGTGTGTGTGTGTGTATGTGGTTAGATATTGGTAAAACATGTTTTTACACACTGCATTTATTTTTTAAAGGTGTCTTTCTGGGTTTGCTTCACTCTGACCTCCTTCCTGAGCAGATTCTGTTTTGCTGGTTTGAAAAAAAAAAGGTGAATTTATTCTAAATTAAGGGGCAGAAGGGCTTTTTTCCACTTTGTGTGACGTGTGAAAACAGAGAAAGCAGCAACACTGTAGCATTCTGATAAAAAAAAAGCACATGAAAGGGTTGAAAGGTCACGGCTTGTGTTTGAAGAGATGCAGTGAGGAGAGTTCTCAGTCAGAAAGTAGAACTTCAAGCCTCAAGCAAACATTCACAGTGCAGAAACTGTAAGTTGAACTAAACACATTCTTGGAAAAAATTTTTTGTATGGAGGATTTTGGTCACCACCCAGGGCGTCATAGTCCTAAGGGAGGCATGAGTATGTTAAAAAAAAAGTCCTGTTAGTCTAGTCACAAACATTTTTTTTTTTTTTTTTTTTCCCCCGTATTGCTTATTTTGTCAATGGGCAACTAGCTCCACCCGTATTATGCAGATTCTAAGGACTGTGGGAAATAACGCTGTGTATCCTGGGAACGCTGGAAACACAAAGTCGGATCTGATGCAGAGCTTCCAAACTGGCGCTGAATTCAGAAGCTGCAGCATTTTGAGGAGTCTGGAATGTTTTTCAGCAGCTCTGCTTGAATATCTAAAACACTGATCGAATCTAGATCGGGTAATTCCATATGAATGTGAAAAGTCTTTTAAAAACTGTTATTTATTATTTTTTGTTCATGTTAAAATTCATTTATATTTATGGAAACACGAAACACGTGTTTGAGGCTGAAACCAGGGACATCAGCCGTGGTCAGCTTGAGGAAGGAGAGAGGACGGCACTAAACCTAGAACCATCACTGCCTGCAGTGTAAGTTGCAGAGCCTCCATTTGAGTTGGTCTGCAGAGTTTTATGAAAGATCACGACAACTAATATTGTAACAAATTAATTTTTTTTTTTACAATATTAGAAACAAACCTCAACGGAGTACAACTGCTGACATTTTGTGCATTTGACCAGCGCATGAACCTCAGAGTCATCTCTGCCTCGTTTGGCAGCAGCAGAACAAAGACTACAACAGAACGGTCACGTCTCTGCAGAACAGACGGCTCATAAGAGAGGAGAACCATGTGAAGTTCTTCGGCTGTTCGGCTCCTCTCTGTGTTCTAACCTTAGTTCTGGAGCAGTCGTCCAAACGAGGTCTCTGCTCTATCTATAGAGGGGACACTCACAGGTGTCACTCTCCGCAGGGAGGTTTTAAAGCAGCAGCCAGGTTCTAAAAGTGTCTTGCATATGCTCCTATCTGTTCCCCTCTTCCCCGCCCCTCCTTGTCTCTGTCTCCTGCTGTCCCGGCTAATTTTACCCAGTTAGCAGATACCAGGGAGATCAGCCGTGGTCAGCTGTCTGTCAAGCATCCGGAGCCCTGACAGGCCTCGCAGTGAAATGCTGGAGGTGGCAGGGTGTCGGGTGTCCCCCTGCCCGGCCCCTGGGGGCTGCCTGCGCTGCTGTGGCTGTTATAGAACACAGCTGTCCCAAAGGAAATCTTTTGCTCCAACAATCAATAATCAGTTGGGTGCGAAACTTTCTTGATGTCCCACTAGCTCACAAACAAAGCACCCCCCCATTCCCCCCCTGTTTTTTTTTTTTTTTTTATATATATATATATATATATATATATATATATATATATATATATATATATATATATATATATATATATATAT